TGTGAGGAGGAAGAGTGGCAATCTTAATCAGTACTTGTGAAAAATATTTGGCTGCAAAAAGTAGCAATGGCTTAATCAGCTACATGGCAGAGATTGACTTGTGGTGTTTATTAAAATGCTTACTTGAGTTCAGCTGCTTTCTATAAGTTCAGGCTCGTGCTCATTTACACGGAAGACATAGAGAAATAATCCCTTTGCTGGCTAAGCTGATACACGGGCCTCACACTGGGGCATCACACTCCTGCTATTTTCTGACAATGTACCCCTGCGCCAGCAGTAAACCTGTAGGAAAGCCTAAGCCCTAGGAAGTAGCACACCAGTCCTCCTGTCTCTGCTTCACAGGAAATAGTGACTTAAAGAGGAGTTTAAGATCTATTTTGTAAACTTGTAGTAGTAAATGGGTTAGGATTGACAAAGGGATTTCAGACCTGTTCACTAGTTTCTGTTTGCAAAAGGAGCTGATCCCATCTTAGTTTAGCAGCTGAAAGTCAAACAGCCTGTTGAGCAAACCCATGGTAAATTTCGGCACCCTTTAGTATCAATGGCATTCAAGAATGAACACAGACACCAAGATTGTTAATATGTCATTTATTTAAACCAAAATCAATTTATATTTTCAAGGGGTAGATTTCAAATATATAAAAAGAAAGGTTAAGAGCAAACAATTTTGTTCAATTTCTATAAAATATGAAACGATCTTCGGGAGGGGGACACTGTAATATGGGACATTTCTTCACAGAAATTCAGATATCTCATTTTGTTTTGGTACTGGCTGAAATGTTTAAGGAACCCCTGATGAAGTCTAAGAATTAGTTTGGGACTGGCAAGAAGTATAATCATGGTTCAGACGACAAGAATAGTCAGTGTGTGAACCAAAGTAATGAGATCTTTGTAACCTCACAAGGGATGCAGTCACTTGATCGTTTCCCTTTTGAAGCGGTTTCAAAAGGGCATTGTGTTATTTTGGTGACTGGCACAGGTCTTGCTTATGTATAAAAATCAGAAAGAGTGGCCTTTCTGCTTAACAGTTTCCAAGTGTGCTGCACGTAGATGGCTGGGTTTGCCCAAGAACTTGGAGCAGCTTGGAGGGTGGGAGAGGAAGCATAGTGGGTTCCGATTTTGGAGTTCTGACCTTTTTAGGCAGCTGATGAACCCAAGTTCGCATCACAAACATTCCAATTTTATCTTTTTATTTTTATTTTTTTTGGTAAATGTATATTTTTGTGCATAAAGTAAACTTATACAAATATGACCTGATTAAACCCAGACAAAACTGACAGTGGCAAACAATTATCAATCTTAGATGCGGGAAGAATGATAGAGTCGGCACCTGGAGAAGGAGCTGACTGGAGGCTTGGATTTTGGACTCTAATCTGTCAATAGTTGTGTCACATTGGACAAGTTAGTAAACCTCACATAGTCTTTCATTGCTGGAAGGACGAAATGAAAACCACAAAGCATCATTATGACTTTCCCTACTTTTGAGGGCTGTGTAGGAAACAAAATTGACAGAATATATGCAAAGGAGTCCAAGTGGGGAAAACATAGGTATATTTGCACGTTTGAGAGGTTAATGACTTCTTTCATAAAATATACCAACCCTCACTGCAATGCAGCACTTGCTGTTCCTGACCTGAAACTTACATGTGCTTTTGATCCTCAGAGTATAATGACTTCCAGTTCTTCAGTATTTAAATCCCTTAAATAGGATGCAAGATCTACCTGCCTTCTCAACAGCTAATAGCATACGTGTTGTTATAACGAAGTTAGAACGATATGCTTCTTAATTACTTAGTTACTCCCCCCCGAAAAAACAATTATTTATATTTTGGAAGAAGTGGGACTCAGTAGTGAAAACACACAGACCTGAAAGCAGTGCATTAATTATTTTATTAATTTCTTCTTTTTACATTATGGGAAACATTCATTTATTTACAGGTTGTTTTTTTTTTTTTTTTTTTGTCCACACACAATCTAGGTAAATAAGCCTATGAAATTCCAATTCATAAAGCCATAAAAATTTTCCCCACCCCTCCATCTGAAGGCTTTCAAATGAATCATTTTTTTTTATCCAAACCAAAATAATTTTTAAAAATTACATTTGGGAGTTCAGATATGCTAGTGATTTACATTCCAGTTATTTAAAATATGCATCTAGACATGTTTTAAAAAAGAAATGGTAAATTCACAAGGATAAGGCTTAAATTAAAGTGGAAATGCACGGTAAAACATTAAGGAAACATCTATAAATAACAGAAATATATTACAAATAAATTAGTTCTATTTACCATTTCAAATATTAAAAATCTTTAATCCATTTCTTCATCTCTCTTTACAAAAAGGTTATGTGAGTTGTATGGAAACATTTGCAAAAAATATAACACTTAATTTCTTTGAACATTTTGTTTTGATGTGGGAGACAAACTTTTCTTTTGTAATGCCCCCCTCCCCAAGAAAATCCCAACAACTTTATACCAAAGTTAAACAAAATAAGTAATTTTTCAGGGTACATACATTTTCCATTATGAACTAAAAAACATTACTACAAATTACATCAAAAAGAACAATGTAACAAAGGTTATGCTCATGAATATTAGTTTAAGGGGTCAAGTGGTTAACAAGCAGCATCGCTTGGGGTCATGTTTTTTTAACATCAAGAATTAGCTTTTTATAAAGTGTTTGTACAATTTAAATTGTGTTAAGGAAGGCAAAGATCATGATGCCCTGTTCACATATGAACAAGTAGTCATTCAGCTAAAAGATTTAAAATTCTTACCAAAAATATCTTATGAATATACAAATACCATTCATATAGACAAGATAAATAGACCTTCACTTGTCTCTCTTCGAAATATCCCGGGCTATATCGGTTTCTAAAGAAAATATTGTAGGATAATCTTGAACTGTATTATTGATATATTTCTTAATCCAAATCCTAGCTCTATTTCAGGGCACTGAGCTGTAGTTGTGAATGTGAATCTTCAAATGGATGCTGCTTCCTTCCTGTTAACCTGTGGGTTCCAAGTCATTTTCAGTACCGAGTCGGACCATAGGCTACCCAAGGTGGCAATTGGCATTACTGGATGCAAACACTGTGTGACCTTTCATTGCTGCTACAAGGTAAAGAAAAGGTGTATTCTTTTAAAAACTGGCAAAAACTTGAAGCTCAAGATCTCTGTATGCTCCAATTTTGCAAAGCACTCAAGCCACTTTGCTCTCCCTAGCTAAAAGTTGGTTGGTTTTAAAATAAGTTAGTAGCCCTTTTCTTGTAAACCACAGCAGTAAACTTTTGTGCCCTGTTTATAAAGATAGCTCAAAGCATCAATGGCTCTGAGAGGTAGCAAATTCCCTAGTGGTTTTACATGTTCATGACAATATTTGTTGCCAGAATCCATCACCTCTTTTAATTTTACAAATAAAATTAAATTAGCACCTGGCTATGAGAGTGTATTTTTAAAAAGCTTCTCTGGTGCAAGAGTGTTTTATGCATGGTTTTAAAAGTGTTTCATTTTTCCATGGTAATTTCTAACGGTTTAGGGTGTGAGCTGGACAAAAAATGCCAGTGACACTTTAAGATTGCTATATTCTAAATGTTTTAACTGCTACGAGGAAGGGCATTTAACGAGACCTGCAGCTAGATGCAAAGGGCATACTGCCCATCAATCGTGACTAAAAATGTAAAGCAACTTTCTCTACCAAAAGCCTGGATTTCTTCAGTGTTTGTGAGTCAGGACTTTCCTCCCTCCTCTTGGTTGCTGAATCCCGCAGGTCAACTTTCTTTCTCTTTTTACTACCTGGAAACTCAAGATGTCAGAAACAGCTCTTTGGAATGAGCTTGTCTGTTGGGTTAGAAAATTTGTTTTATCAGTTTGACACAGGACAAAATCCTTCTTGATAGGATAGGACTGATATGACATTCTGTATAGTAAGTAGAAAGAGGAAACTAAAGTAGAATATTTTGAGATATATTTGTCTCAAACACAAAATACTGGGGTAAAACAGACAGATGTGTAGCATTCAAAGGGATGATAGTAAAACCCAAACTTCTCTCTGAAAACAGCCTTGCTGCCATTTACGGCAGTTCACAAGCAGACGTGCACTTATAAACGTGTAATCGGGTAGGCCCACCATGCTGGACACTAACAAATTAATAGAACCAACACTTTCTCCTTTAAAAACCACTGCCACGACAACATAATATACATAGTACAGTAAAGATGGATAAAACATCTCAGGTCTAAGTGTTCTTAATAATTCAAAAGTCAATGTTGTTGAGTTGATTCCAACTCATAGCGACCCTATAGGACAGGGTAGAACTGCCCCATAGGGTTTCCGAAGCTGTAAATCTTGAGAAGCAGACTGCTGCATCTTTCTCCCTTGGAGTGGCTGGTGGGTTAGAACCGCCGACCTTTTTGTTAGCAGCCAAGGCTATTTAGCCACTGCGCCACCAGGGCTCCTTTTTCTTAATAACAGGACAAAAAAAAAAAAAAAAATCCTATGTGTTGTCTGAAACCAACAGTGTTTCCTTCTCCTTGCCTTTCCTTCTTTTTATTGCCTTTCAGAATAGATTGATTTCCCTGAAAGATCGCATTTACAGTCTTCTGCTGATTGAACGTTTGAAGCAGTGATCGACGAAACAACAGTGACGCGGGCTGTGCGGCTGTGAGTCGCGCAGGAACCCCTGGGGACGCCAGGCGCACCCCAGCCCTGCAGTTCCCTGCAAACTACACGGCCCAGTCTTCCATCCCCGAGCCGTCTTACTGAACTCTCTGTGTGTCACTCCTTATTTCCGGTGAGATGGTGTGATTTCTGAGGTTGGAAATAAAGTGCTCCATCTGCTTTGAAAAATAATAACCATTTAGGGGAAAAAAGGGAATCCGAGCCCTAGTTTCTTTCAGGTGGAAGACGGTAGAGTCCCAGAGGATCATCACCCTGTGATACTGGATTTCTGAAATACCCTATGGTTTGATATTGCTGAGCTCTAGGAACAGACTAGCTTTAGAGAACCGAGGATGGCGCGGGACCTAAAGGTGCCATTTCTATACAGGTGTGTTTGGTTTTGCCAAGAAAAGAAAGGGTCATGTATCTGTATGAGGCAGGGCGACAGCATCAGGACAGGGGTCAAAGGTCGGTGAAGAACATGGGCGAACGTGTCTGGGGGCAGGGGTGACTGGAGGACAGCTCCTGCAAGACTGACAACTATACCACAACAGTGGACGTCACTGAGCTCATCGACAGATGGTCTCTGAAGGGGCAGAGGAGAGAGGCGGAGGGCTGAGAAAGGAGAGGAGAAGGAGAGAGGAGGACAGACACTTGGTGGTGGCGGGACGGGGCGGCGGGTACAGGTCTCAGAGCCGGGTCTGCGCCTCGGGGATGTAGATCTCGATGCTCTCCGCGCTCTCGGTGGCCGAGTTCTGGCGGACGGACGCGGCGCGCTTGGCGGCCATCAGGCGCTTGCGGGCCTCCTGGCGCTGCGAGCTCTCCAGCGAGCGCTCCCGGATCAGCGGCGCGGGGCCCTTCGCCGGCTTCTTTGGCACTGGAGGAGGGACCCTTCTCTCCTGATCAAAGCAGAAGGTTCAGGACATTACACAGCTTCTCAGGACAAGCTTGGGAAAAACTGGATAGGTCAGTAGTTAGAACACACTTTTTTTTTTTTAACCTAAGGGCGGTTAGTTCTTATCTGCACACTGTAAAAATATTTTTTATCTTCATTATTCTGGCTTGGGTATTCAAAAGATGCAGGAAAAAAAAAAGTATCAGAAAGCTTAAGGCCACAGGTAAGGCTGGATTGCAGAACTAGTTTTCTCCAAGGTAAGGATGTGGGTATTTAAAAGCCACCCGCGGAAGGCTGCCGCTTGCAGCACATTGAGTGTGCTTCTCTCTGGAGACTCCAGACTCTTCCTGGTGCCAGAGATGGGCAAGGAGAGCAGCCGCAGCAGCATCCTAGAACTCTGCATCCCCTCTAAGGAGGCCATCGTGGGTGCAAGCTTAGTTCAGAGTTTAAAAACATCACCACCCTCTTCCCCGGGCCCACAGCGGCTCCCCTCCCCCAGACCTAAATAACCAAAAGAGTAGAAGAGGTTGTAAGAGTAAACGGCTGTGTTCCTCAGATTTGTTGATGCCACAGTGACGTATACCCTTTTGCACACCACACACAAACACACAAGCAATGTGCTGTACAGGGTCCGGGAGAGGGAGGACGCTAGTATTCCCTACACTCGGGAGTGGCGTCTTCCAAGACGGCTCCTCACACATCCTTTAAGGGGCTCGGGATGATTGTGGTGCCCCGGAAGGCAATTCCAACCACAGGGAAGAAACTGTGCCAAGAAAATTTAACACAGAACTGAGAGAGGTCATCTCCTTATCAGCGCAAACTCTAAGATGATTAGATACTTTAAATGTCACTGAAAAAACAAAAGCCATTCATCACTTGGGCAGGAAAAAAAGTGCAGTGGGAAAGAAGGGAATCTAAACCACGAAAGATTTTTAGGAAATGGATGTTGAATTCTCAGGCTGTGAAAAGGTCCACATAAATCTGATATTTTCATTTAAAATAAAGTACTCTTGATTTCTCATGAATCTAAATGTGAAAATTGTCCTAAGACATGGATTCTATGACTTTCCAAAGGGCATATTCTGTGTTAACACTTTAGCTCATCACAGCAGCTCCTCTTTGGTGAGAGGGCCTAGTTAAACTCCTGACACTGCCATTTCTGGTTAAGGTGGAGTTCACATGGCCTGAAGGAGAGAAAAGGGGAGCACAGAGTACAAAACACCATTCCACCAACTCCGAGTGTTTTTGCTCATTTGTTTCCTCTCAACTTCCTGGGGCATTGAAAAGCTCTGATCATAGACCAAAAGCCAAAAACCAGTTGCCGTTGAATTTATCCTGACTAATGGTGACCCGGTGTGTGTCACAGAACTGTGCTCCATAGGGTCTTCAATTCCTGTGATGTTCGGAAGTAGATTGCCAGGCTTTTCTTCCGACATACCTCTGGGTGGACTTGAACCTTTCAGTCACTAGTGGAGCCCTTAATTCTTAGTGCCACCCAGGGGCTTCATAGATAAACTGTATAAAAATTTCGGACTCAAGTTAACTAATGCCATACTGTGCAAATATCAATAGATTACATAGTATCACTTGTTTTGAACATTTAAAAAATCTTCATTGTTGAATAACAGTGACTATTTTTTAAAGTATGAATACAGGAAATTTTTAGTCATAGTTCCCTTTCCTCGTTCCACATTATATTGACAGTCTTTTTTACTTAAATTAATGGATGAGAAATTATGCGATTCAGCTCTGAAACCTAAGTTACCAGTGTATTGTGTACATTTGTCATGTTTTCTTAAATAAGACCAGTTTAAAAGCTTATTTAGCAGAGAGTTTGAAACACAGATTAAGGAAAACGACATTGGGTGCAAACGCTTGGCTTCGCAAGTGAGACATCACAAGGACATCAACAGTATGTTCATGCTTAACATTAAAATCCCCAGTCTGATGTTAATGAACTTGGAGATGGGGACACTGATAAGAGTGTCGCCCTCCTGCCCCCTGTGGACTGTTTCTTGGGACTGGATTTCTCCGGGGAACTCACTGACCCAAGAACCCTGATACTCTGGTGGGCACCCACAGGATGGGTTGGATTACTGTTTGCTCTCTGATAGATGAGAAAACTTGAAAGGGGGAAGGTCACCAAGGGAATAGGCATGCCTGATTTTCAGAAGTTTCGTGAAACTATTTGATCTTAGGCCATAAGAAAGCAAACGGTTAAAAAAGTCATGCATGACAGGCCAGCCTAGGGAGGGGACACTGGATACCTGTTTGAGCCTGGCATGACCGCCAAATGTGAAAATTACAGTTTACAAATTAAAGAATTTAAGTCTTTATTTCTAAGCTGTTGCATGAGGAACCCAGTGAGCAATTTTCCCCAAGGCAAATTAACCAAAAGTAAAACTCTTTTGAAGAAAAAAAAAAAAAATCCCAACACATGATTACTGTGAAACTTTATGTTGTATACTTTTAGACTTGAACAACAGTGACTTCTTTATTACTATATTTATGAAATGATTATCAAAGTCAGCTATTTTTCAGGGCTTCCTACTTTTCTTGGAAGCACAACCTAGGGGTGCAAGGACGTTGAACTCTTGCTCTGTGTCATCATGCACTGAAGATGTCATTTAGTTTAGTTTAAAAAGCAAAATGGAGGCAGTCCTTCCAGTGACTAAAATGGTTTAACTTAAAGTTTAATTAACAAAAAAAAGCCACATTCCCATTTTCTGATTCACAAAGACATGTTTCTCTTTAAAAATATGCCTGAAACATATTACAGATAATTTCCCAAATGATTACTGTGTAAACATTGTCATTACAATGAAATTAATATGATATCAGCTCCATTTCACATTGTAAACCGCAGGACTGAATGCAGAAGCCTATTTAGACTGTCCAGTGTTTGTGCAGGTTTTTAAATGAACCATACAAAATCTACATTGTTCTACCTTCTTGTCAAGAGGATCCATCTGTTTCCAATTATTGGCCTTTAACTGATGAAGTTCATCAAATTTCATACTAATATTTTCTATGGACAATTGCAGCATGTCCCAAAACCCCGCCAAATCCTGGGAGGTGGGCCTTGGATGTGCATTAGGATTCTGTACAAGAGAAAGAAAAACAGTTATGCTTTAGAGGCAATCCGTGACAGAGGCGCAGTGCCAAAGTGGCATTTTCAGTATTTCAGAGAATATGAGGAGAACGAGTGGCTTCTGGTTTTCAGACAGGAGATAAAAGCAAGGCTACAAATGGAAATTTTAAACACTCATCCGCTTTGAGTCAGTGATTCTCAAATGTCAAGGTTGTAAAACTCTTCTGTTGTAGTACAACATCCATCAGTGTGGTATGGGAGGGTCTAAACAATTGGGAAAATTCCACAACGTGTCATCTACTACCCATGATGCATTTAAAAACATCATATTTAAATGGAAATACCATCTTTGAAAAAGAAATACAGTATATCATTATTAGAGTCTGTATTCGACTCCATGCCACCCAACTTACTCAGAGAACAGATAAGGAATCCAAACTAAGATTAGTTTTAATACTCATGTTGAGTGAAATAACCAAAACCTGTTGCCACGGAGTCAATTCCAACTCATAGCAGCCCTATAGCCTCGGTGGCACAGTGGTTAAGCACTGTGTTGCTAACTGGAAGGTCAGTGGTTCGAACCCACCAGTTGCTCCTCGGGAGAAAGATATGGCAGTCTGCTTCTGTAAAAATTACAGCCTTGCAAACGCTACAGGGCAGTTCTACTCTGTCCTATAGGGTTGCTATGAGTAGCAATCAACTCCACAGCAACAGGTTTGGTTTGGTTGAATGAAATACAAGGGTAAAAAAATGATGAGGAGTAATAAAATAATTGGATTTTCAAAGTACTATTTGTCTAATAATTAAGATGTTACTGATATAGGAAGCCATTTTATCATATGACTGCATTGACAGAAACTTTTGGAACTTAATTAGTTTTAAACTGACCATAACGTAACAAGTATGAGAACACATAGCTATACATAAGTATGTCTGTTAATGACTCATTTGCTAGATAATATTAAATATCCTTTAGTCTTTCTTTGCTCCCATCCCCATATCCCTGACGAGTGCTAGAAAGTATGAACTGTTAATTTATATAAGTTAAGGCAGAAAAAACACAAATAGGCGGAAAGTGTCCTGCTCATGGTTAATCACTACCCGTAATGGTAGCTAAAGGCACTTGAGGTGAGATGGGTAAGAGTCTCCATGAGTCAGGGGTTCCCAACTGGGGTCAGTTTTGGTTACTTCTAGAATTCCAGACCATAGGATAGGCTGTGGAACCTCACTGTACATGGTAACTTGAGACCTGTTTGTACTTTTAAAACTAGCCCCTAATAGAAACAGATAAGAGAATTTCAGAAAGCACAAGGTCGGTGACTATCAGCGTTAATCGGTTGGGAAGAACTTTTTTGTCCCTCGATGGCTAGTGTTATTGCTCTGGCTTCAAAATAAATACAAATGAAAACATATTTATAAACTTCTAATTCTAAAAATACCCATAGTTCTGAAATTTACTGGAAAAAGTAAATTCTGAAGTTCATAAGTGCTTGCTTCAGGATTAAATCTATTCTAATGATGAAAATCAACTACAGGGTTTCTCTGTAGTATTTTGACTTAATAAACCAAAAAAAAAGTTTCTCAATATCTAGGTTCAGAATAGACAGATAATAGCTTTGGCAACATACCTCTCAAATGCACTCACGATATATTTGTCCTTATCTTATTGGTAACTAAAAACTAAACTGCTCAGATGTTGGAGTTCAGTGAAGTCTTCTAGGTCACCAGCCCCATTTGCTAAATTGTTTCAGTGCATCAATGCATGAAATGATAGCTCAACGAGTCCAAAGAGTTTGTTTAATTCTGTATCATGGGCAGTTGATTCCCTTCTCAGTGAGAATCTCATTATACCCACATTATTAAGACGATGGATGAGGGAACTGAGGGAGAAAGAAACAGCCTCACAATCAGTGTGCCATGTGACATCTTGTGCCACAAGAAGAAGCTGCCACAAGCCCCTTCATCTAAAGAAAGCCTTCTTGGTGATCAGAGGTGGGGGTGGGGTGTGGAAGGATGAGGAGGGCTGGGTCTTGGTTTAGTTTTGTTGGAAAACACCAACTCTCATCTATGCGTTCTAAGCGTGAGAGTTGTGTAACTGACTTTACAATAAAGAGCTATTATTTCCCTCCTCTTCAGAGTAAGAACCCAAGGAAGGAGAGCTGGGTCTGTGTTCTGACCAATGTTATAGTAAATAGATCAGTGCTGCTTTTATGCTGCTGCAGACCTAAGAGAGCCACTACCAGGCCACCTCCATTCCTGCTGCAGAGAGGGGTGGAGCTGACTCATAGCTGTCTTCTCTAGGAGGGTGAGGAGTGGAACTCAAACCCTGGATGGGATTTACAGGGATTGGGAGGCCAAACAGTCTTGGATTTGAATCTTGGCTGTGCCTCTTACCATGTGGTCTTGGTCTTGGCCAAGTTACTTTGCCTTTCAATGCCCATTTTCCTCATCTGTAAAATCATTGTAAAAATAATGTCACTGTCACTCCATAGGGTTGTTCTGGGGATTTAACCAGATCATAAATTTAAAAGCTCTTAGCGTGGTATCTGGTATGTGGTAGGCTCTTGACTGTCCCTTCTGGAGCAAGGTTTGGCCAGCGTCAGTGGCCCCTCCCCCAGGGTGGCTCTGCCTCGATGTACCTCTAGCAGTGCTGTGCACATTGTGCTACCTGAGTTCCTCTAGTGGCCTAGGAATGTACACCCGTAGCCCAGGAAATGTCAAAGGCCTGCTTCAACAAGGTTAACATTTCCTATAAATTTGCACATTTTTCTAAACATTTTGTCTGGAGTTTCATCTTTAAAATCTGCACAGTGCTTGCATTCTACTTCATAATATACTTGCACATTATATAATGTTTTTAGCGAAGTGTGCTGTGCTTGCCCTGTAGTGTGTATGTATTGGCCTCCAGATGGACCTACTGGCCATTTGAGAAATATGGCTTTATATGAATTTTCTCACATTTAAAGGAGAATGAATAATTGTGTTACTTAAGATCTGTGATACATTTGCAAGTTCGTAAATTAGCAGGAATTCTGTACCTGGCACATAGCTGAAGCTCAATAAAATATTTGTTGAATTGAATTCACTTATCACTAAACTTACTAATATAAATTATCTTATAACCTGGAATAGAATTTCTGTGAAGGTGGAAGAAGGGTCAGGTAATTTTTGTTGATGGTGGGGAAAACAAATTATAGATGGGGAGGAGGGTGGCCCCAAAGGGAGGTTACAAAAAGAAAAGCCTGGGAAAGAGGGATGGAGAGCATCAGCTTCTGCCATGTTTTATATTTTCTTGTGGTTGAGCCCTGTCTATGTTGTCCTTGTCAGCAAGAGGAAGTGGTTAAACTCTAAAATCATACTTTGGGTCAATTAAATGGCAAATAATTATGTTTTCAGTTTCCACAAAATAAGTTGCTTTTCGTACTCTTGGTTTTGTATTCAGCAGGACCAATGATTGGGCTATCCTGGTGGAATTATACTTGTAGAGACAGTACCAACTTAAAAAAGGGGGTACATATATGAGGAAGCCCTTTCTCATTTAGTTTGTAGACAATTTTCAAAATGTTATTGTTGGTAGTTTTCTCTGTGTGTGTGTCTTTGTTTTGCTTGATTTTGTCTTTGTACATCTCAGAAGGATGAATTATTCTATTGTCTCAGGGAGATCAAACCTCTGCTTTGAAATGCCCTCATCCCCTCTGGCCCTCAAACTGAAACAGAGCACTCTAATTAGGGAATGGCCACTGACTGCTATTTTAGAAAGAAAATCACTGTCCAAAAAAATGTTTTTGGTAACATTTATTTTTTGAAATATCAAGGTGTTCTATCCTTTGATAAGAACAATAAAATCAGGGATGTCATGTGAAAGTCAAAAAACGGAAACTTTTTAGTTACAAAAAAGCAGGAAATGGAATTTTAACTTGATTTTCTTTTTTTCTAAGATTAGATAACTATGAAATAAATATTTTTAATTTTAAGAAAAGAAAGAAATAAGATTCATCTGAAAACTCTCTATTCCAGGTGAGAGATCCCAAAGGGCTTTGACTTGGTTCAAGTCAGTTTTACTTTCGTTGGACCAGTCATGGTGGCACTTTCTCCACGTGGTACTAGCAGGGAAATCATAGCGATGGGGAATGCTACATACCAGGTTTTCTTCACACAGTTCTCTGAACTGGTAGAATTTCTGAGCCATGAGAAGTTGGGCACTGCCCACTGCAGTTCGGATTTTCCCTAGAACTGAAAAGAGCAAACATACAAGAAGTTTACACATTATGCCTTACTGTTGAGATTTAGCCTGGTAAAGCAAAGAGGAAGTTATGTTGCAATAATTAGGGAAAAGAGCGCGCGCGCATGCGCGCGCACGCACCCGCCCACGCACCCACACACACACAGCCCAACCACGGTTTTTACTCCATTGGTCTGTGTAACAGAGGCTCTTGGGTTAATAAAACGACTTGGAAAAAACAGGTCATCATGCATATTTCTTGGGAGTAACGGCTTTTTCCACCATAGCACTGGATGTTACCAAGAGAAGAGCAAACAACTTTCCCCCCTTTCTTTTACTGCAAGAATGCATTTCAAGTATTTACCAGTATCATTATGGATTGATAGAGTCAGCAATCATGGTGTGCCGGTTTAGCTTTCTAATCTGAACCCAAACATGAGAACCAACAAAGAAAACAACCCTAACTTGGAGGGGGATCTCTTGGCACTCACCACGTCCCATCCACATCCTCCATCATCTCTCCGGAGCTCAAACACTGGAGCTGTCAGGAAAGAGCCTGCGAGTTGAATGATTCTCTAAGGAGTGAACATTTTCAGCCTGTTGCCTAGGGAACGCCAGCACCATCCCAGTTTTTACCCTCCACAGACCAATGTTATTGTTAAGATATGCATTGTGCTGAAAATATTCCCCTTTGCAAGCTACCTCTTGTCATCTGTGCAGTCTAGGCGAGAACCTTTCAAGTGACAGGTGTGCTCAGATGGGGCGGGGCGCTGTCTGCCAGAGCTTCCCTGAGCTGGCTTTGTTAGCAGAGGCTCTCCCTACACCACTGTGAGGACTTGGGGACAGCCGCCTTTGCTGGAGCCCTGCCACCAGGCAGCTCTCAACATGCCCGACTGTCAGGAAGGAACGGAAGAGCTGCAGTGCTTGCACCTTCCCTGCCCAAGAGAAAACTCGAGAGGGAGACTTTTCAGAAGGGCATTGCCTCATTTTGAAATCTTCATGGAGAAGTGCATTATAGGATTCAAGCAATCTTGTTCTGAATTTACAGAGCCTGGGAGTCACAGTAGAATTTGATCCGTCGTTCTCTACCTTAGAGTCCCTGGGTGGCACAAACGGTTAAGTGCTGGACTACTGAAAGGTTGATGGTTCGAAACCACCCAGAGTCACCTCAGAAGAAAGGCCTGCAAATTTGCTTCCAAAAAGTCACAGCCTTGAAAACCCTATGGAGCAGTTCTACTCTGCAACAGATGGGGTTGCTATGAGTCAGAATTGACTGGACAGCAGTGGGTTTGGTTTGATTTGGTTTTTCTGTGTCTCAGAGTCCTTGAGTGGTGTAAACAGTTAACACACTCGGCTGCTAACCAAAACGTTGGAGGTTCAAGTTCACAGACGCACTTCGGAAGAAAGGTTTGGTGATCTACTTCTAAAAAATCAGCCATTGGAAACCCTGTGGAGCACAGTTCTACTCTGACACACCTAGGGTCACCATGAATCAGAGCTGACTAGACGGCAACCAATTTACTGGTTTTCTTGACCTCATTCCCTACAAAGTCTGGCAGGAATAACACAAAAGGAAAAGAAACTTCATCGTTGGTCCACGGTTTTCTAGTTATTGACTTCTCTGTTTATTAAAAACTGTTAGGCAAGATAATGGTTTGTGATGTACATTATACCTAGGAGCTACTCTACTATTTCAGCTTTCCCACAAATGTAACTCAAGGCATTTATGAATTCTCTAATATGTCACCAGCCAGTCCAAATAGCTGAACTGCAGCAATGGAAACCAATTTACCTCCTCGCTGATATCAAGGAATTCCCCATGACAGCTACCTGGGAACAATTTCTCAGACCTAAATTTTCACCTTTGTTTCCAATCTACTCTTAAAATCTTTGGGGATCCATTTGTGAGCACCTGTCTCCCTTTCTCAGCATCCGCAAAGCAGAAAGAGCATACTGAGACACAGCACATGATAGTAGTTAAGCTGTGAATCCAGGCTCCAACACTTACCAGAAACTGCCTTGGACAGTCACTTAACCTCCCTGTTCTCTCATCTGTAAAATGGGGCTAACTGTACCTATTTAAAGGTTGTTGTGAAAACCCAATGAGTTAATGTATGTGAATTTCTTAGGACAGTGTCTGATACATAGTAAGTACTCAATAAATGTTGTTTATTACCTAGGATCAGAAAAATACACTTCCTCTATGGGTATGTCGACTGTGAGAGCCACATTTGCCATGGTCAGAAGAGAAGAGGGAAAAACAAAGTCTGGATTATCTAAGGTTGACCAGACATCCTGGTTGCCTGGGACAGGTATGTTTTTTTAGATGACCTGTCTCAGATCTGAGAAGGAATATCAAGCAGGCACTTTTAAGTGAGCATGTGGCTATAGGCAAACTCTGAGGTTTGTTGGAAATCTGTCTGAATTATCTTGCTGAAGGGTAGGATTATAACATCAGCAAATCTCAGAATGAATCATGGGAGCTTAGAACTAGGGTACCTCGGTCTCCAATTTGCCAGCTGGGATTCCATAGCTCCTGCTAACTATCCTAGAAACTCAAGCTATTTTGATACACCTCACAACCTTGAGCTACGTGTATCTGTTGTCATCAAGTTGATTCTGACTAATGGCAACCATATGTGTGTAGAGAAGAACCGTACTCCACAGGGTTTCCAAGGCTGTGTCCTTTCAGAAGCAGATCACCAGGTCTGTCTTCCAAGGTGCCTCTGAGTGGGTTTGAACCATCAACCCTTCAGTTAGTGGTCGAGTGCTTAACCATTGGTGCCACCCAGGAGCTCCTCAATTTTGAGCTAATGGCCCTCAATTACCCAGATATTACTGAGCTATGTAACAGACTGCCACAATAAGGGTGGCTGAGTAAGACGGTGATTCTCAGCTGCTTCAAACAATCAATCATCTGGGCCACACCCAGCCATATAGGGGCTAACTTGTATGTTTTCTGGGAAGCAAAACAAGGGATATCTTTCTTTATTTGGCATGGTTTGGCAAGACCCTGAGGTTCAGAGCAAAAACATCCAGGGTGGAGTTGTGGCTCTTCTGCATCCCAGGTTTTCACCATCATGTTCCTTGGATGGAAATTCCCTACTGGTTCCAGGATGCTTGCTTTTCCAGTGCGCCAGTGATGATCTTTCCTAGGCCCAGGGTGGCAAGATGACAATTTGGGCCTATAGTGGGACCATGAAACAGGCAGACAAGAGCTCATCTTTCCTTACCCTCCACACTTTCTGGAGTACTAAAAACTTTTCTTGATTTTTGTTTTTTCCATTAGACACTCATTTGGTATACGAGATAACTTTTTTCTCCTAAAAATAAATTTCATATTTGTCACATATGCCTTGAGAAAGTAAGAAATTAATAAAGAGTAAAAGGTAAATACCAGTGGAAGTAAAAAGTAGAAAGAAAAAGGCTGAAATTTGGTAAAGAAGAAAGAAGCATCTTAATGTCATTTTGAAACTACTCTAAAACATTCAGTGCCAACCTTCATCAGATGGAAAGAAAAATACTTTTCTCAGGGATGCTAGGTAGAAGAAAGGTCAGGTAACAATAGTGAATATATAGGTTGCAACTGTGTACTTTCCCCGTGCATAAAAAACAGCCCGAGCTAGTATCAGAAAGTTCCAGAAGAGCCCAAGATGCAGTGCATTTCTTCCAGGGTTAGCCTTTCATTTTACTATTTAACTTTGGTGGGCTGGCCCAGCCTTCAAAGCCAGGGCTGAAAAACCAAAGGAGCCTGAAAGGACTTGTGGGATCTGTAGGGCAGCTGGTAGGCAAGGCATGCTTTCTAATTATGTTTTCACAGAGCAGGGACAGTCCTTGGGCTCTGGGAATTCATTCATTCATTCAGCAAATATTTATAAAGGGCATACTACATGCCAGGCACTCTGCTAGATGGACATGATACAGTGATAAGCAAGATGAAGTCCTGTCCTCATGGAGTTTACATTCCGGTGGGGAGTACTGGGAAAGGTGGATATTAGACATCCAAACATAGATGTGAATGTTTAGGGTTTGCTTAATTACTGCTATTGGAACAGATGGGGCTGACCTTGATTGAACATATTGAAAAAAAACAAAACCCATTGCCGTCGAGTCAATTCCGACTCATAATGACCCTAGAGGAGACAGTAAAACTGTCCCATAGGGTTTCCAAGAAGCAGCTGGTGGATTGGAACTGCTGACTTTTTGGTCTGCAGCCAAGCTCTTAACAACTGTGCCACGAGGGCTCCTGAACATATTAAGGGGTAGTGAATTCTTTAATGATGGTTAAAGAACATTGAGTGTTCTTGATCTCCCTCTCCCAATAAATGGAAAAAAAACAAACGAAAAACATGGTTACAGTATGAAAATAGGCTCTGGACTAACCAGTTTGTTTTAGAAAACCAAAACGAAACCTGTTGCAGTCGTCGATTCCAACTCATGGCGACTCTAGAGGACAGAGTAGAACTGCCCCATAGGGTTTCCAAGGAGCAGCTGGTGGATTCAAACTGCTGACCTTTTGGTTAACAGTCAAATGCTTAACCACTACGCCACCAGGGCCTCTTGTTTTAGAAATTACTATTTAATAATGTCATTTTCTTTTAATTTGGAAAAAATTAAAATACAGTCATGCGTCGCTTATGATATGTTCTGTGAAATAGGACATTATGAGATTTGTATGTTGTGTGAACACCATATTATATACAGGTGGTCCCCAGATTACAAACGAGTTCCATTCCTAAGTCGTCTTTAAGTCAAATTTGTACGTAAGTTGAAACAGTTAGGTACAGTTTGTATCCAACATCAGTTAGTCAAATGTTTGTCTTCGTATATAGTCTACCGTACCTTTCTATGCATAAAAAACATTAAAGAAACACTTCCAGAAAACTAAAACATCTTTAACATAATAATACAGTAATAATAATGATAATAATAATGTTTTAATGCACATCACAAAGTAGCGCCCATTTGTTATTACAAACCATTGTATGTACCTCAAAATTTTAATATAATA